ATTCAGTATAGTCAGACAATATGTTTGCCTTTAAGCTATATTCACAGTTTCACCATTCCTAAATTTTAGAATCATATGAGATTCTTTATGTGTATGTGAATAGAATGGAAAACGTTGTCTTATAAAAAGCTTTATTCTGAATCCTCCCAGAGCTTCCCCCAATTGAACAGAGGCCTTCTTTGCTTTCATTGCAAAATATCTGACATTTTCTTTGTACCTTCATATATATTTATACTAGAATACACGATTGAAAGAAATATGATCTTGTATTAGTCAGGATTCTCCAGAGAATTAGAATCAATAGGACATGTGTCTGTAATAAGGAATTGGCTCATGTGATCTTGGGAGACACCTGGAGAGCCCATCAGAAACCAGGTTCTCAGGTTTTCGTCCAAGTTGAAAACCTGAGAACCAAAAGAGGCGATGTACTAGGTTCTAGTCTAACTCTTCAGACCAACGTCAGGAGGACAGTGATGTCCCAGCTTTAAAAAGTCAGGTAGAGAAAAAAGTCAGCAAATACTCCCTGAGTCAGCCTTTCTTTCTATTTAGGCCTTTGATGGATTGCAGAGGCCCACCCCCATTGGGAAGAGCAATCTGCTTCATTCAGCCTACTGATCCAGATGTTAATCTCATCCAGAATCACCCTCATAGTCATACCCAGAATAATGTTTAAGCAAATGCCTGGGCACCCCATGGACCAGTGAAGTTGATGTGTAAAATTAACCATCACAGATCCCCATTGAAACTCCTCTTTTCCTTCAAGAACAACTCCACTTGTAGAAGTCTGCAGAATGCCTTCCTCTTCCATGCCATGAAAGTTGTACTTATGTTGGTCAACCCTGCTGGGCCCAGGTCTTAAAGGTTCTGATTGGTTCAGTCTGAGATGGGACTCATGCATCATGAGTACTTTTTAATTCTTCCTTACATGGTTCTGAGGCATAGCTAAGTTTGAGAACCCTCAAATTTGTCTCTAGGCTTCTTTGAAGTCAATGGAAGAACACAAGAGGAAAGTCACCTTGGTTGATGGCTGGAGCTGAGCTGAATGGAGGATATGGCACACAGACAAACCTGGCTAAATGTGCATAACCAGGTTAACTTAACCATAATGAGCTGATTACAAGGTGGCATCTCTGCCTTGGTTTCTGCTGGGATAAAATGCTGGCACCATGCCAGGATTCTAGGAAAAATGAATCAATATTAACATTTCTTAGGAGATTTAAAGCATAATGCATGTGTCAATTATTATTAATCCTTGAAAATATTTATGGAGTTAAATTGTCTGTAACTAATTAGAGATGGCAATTAACAGGAGATACGAGTTTCCTCTGAGTTATATGGAACAAAATATAAAACTTTTATATAACTCTATTTCCTACAGAAAGGATTTTTTGCTTGTTGGTGGGATTTTTTAAGTTTTATTTTATTTTATTGGATCTCATTACTTTTTCATAAATCCTATAAACAGAATTACAGTGAGGTGAGTCATAATATTAACACTTTTTTGAAGGTTTTTTTCCCACCAATGCAGCTTGGAATGTAGGGGATTTTTTTAAAACTGCATTTGAAAAACATGGAAGGGGAAAGAAAGGAAGGAAATGAAGGAGAAAAAATGAGGAAGGAAAAAGGGGGAGGAAGAAAAGAGGGAGCAAAGGCACAAAATATTTCACTTTAGATTACATTTTTTAACTTAATGACATTATAAAGATAAGCCGTGAAAAAACACATGGCGCTAAGGAGAGCAAACATATTAAGAACAATATGCTATATATGCCAGGTCCCTTAAAACATATGCTGTGCAGATGTTTCTTTCCTGCAGCGACTGTGTCAAGCAGCAAGAATGGACCGGCTTCCGGCACAGACACAGCTGATTCTCACAGCCAATTGGCCTGGAGGTCAATCCCTCCCAGTTTTACCTACAACAATCAAGGCTTAATCATGGTATCTCATGGATATGTTATAGACAACCTTGAAATACAAATGGGCTTGGATTTCAGAAGTTTATGAGCCAGTCATTGGAAACTGGGAACGTATTTCCCCACAGAAATTTTGTTTTGTAAGTGGTAATTAATTTTTGAGGCGAGCTTATAAACTCTGCTCATTCTGTTTTGAAGTCGAAACATTGTGCATTTACAGTGATAAATAGTAGACTATAATATTAAAAACTTGTTGAGCTAAAGAACATAAAAGAAATAAAATCCATTTTGGAGTAGCTTAAAACTTTTCACTTAAATGCTGGTGCTGGAGGGAAAGCAGAGTTAATTTGAGGAGCCTGAAGATGTTCAAACATCTAATGTTGATATTTGAGAGTGCCAGTCAATGGAGCAAAAGCCATTCTTTCTTGAGGGTCTCTGCAGCCACGTGTGTGTTTTAGGCTGAGCACCAAAAAGCAACACACTTAGACCATATTAATAAATCCTCAATAAAAACCTTTCCTTTCTACAACAGAAATCGATGAATCACATACTGTGTGTGACATGCTCCTTACCACTTAGGCCAGAAGGAAAGCAGGAAAGACCCCTCTCCTTGTGGAGCTTATAATCCAGCGGATGAGACAGCCAAATAATTGTACTGATAGATGACCTATGATTCATCCATTTTTATGAAAAAATATTATATGACAATTGAAATTGATACCTATTTACAGGAAATAATGATGCCTCTCATAGGCTGTGGCTGGGGATAGAGAGGAACTAAAACTTTGTTAAATACCTGCCATGGGCCAGCCACTTACTTTTTGACTCTCTCATTTAACCCTGAGTAACCCTGGGCATCGAGATCTTTATCACCATTTCTCAGAAGAGGAGCTGAGACTCAGAGACCTTCACAGATGGGAAGACACTCTGCAGCAGAGCCAGATGCGAACCAAGCCTGTCCGACTCCAGGCACTCTCTGCCCACCCAAGCTGCCTATTCTGCAAAAACACTCTGGACAGAGCTCCTATTATTTTACTCAGTATCCTATATGATAAAGAGCTAATGTGCTAATTAGACCGAACAGCTTAACGACCTTCCGGACATCCTTCTGGACGACCTTCCAGACGAAGCCGGGACTGTGAGGGCCAGCTGGAGCTGCGAGGGGCTGTGAGGGCCAGCCAAGGTTGCAAGGAGCTGCGAGGGCCAGCCAAGGTTGCAAGGAGCTGCAAGCGCCAGCTGGGGCTGTGAAGGCCGAGCCCCTTGCACAGATTTCGTGAATCGGGCCTCTAGTTTTTGTATAAGTGTCAATGCACTAATCTGTACCTGCAAGGGGCTGTGAAGAGCTGCGAGAGCCAGCCAGAGCTGCGAGGGGCTGCAAGGGCCAGCCGGGGCTGCGAGGGCCAGCTGGGGCTGTGAAGGCCGAGCCTCTTGCACAGATTTCGTGAATCGGGCCTCTAGTTTTTGTATAAGTGTCAATGCACTAATCTGTACCTCCAACTTAGTAATGGAAAAGAGACTTCCTCTCCTGATGCTGGTCTTCCTTTCACCAATGCAAGCTGTTTCAGCCTGTTCTGATGCCATTGATTTCTCTCACACCATAGCCAGCTCACCTGAGACTCCTAGTGCAGTGTCCTCTCCTTTTTTCCCACCATATATTTTTGTCTGTTTTTTTATTTTGTGTTGATATTTACTACCCTGAGCATTTCATTGCAAGTTTCTTTGCCCTTTTGAGAAATTGAATACACGTTACATAAATAGAAAAGAAATAGCCGAGACTTCTGGAATTCTTTGATGGTCTCTTTCTGTGCCCTCCAGTTGACCTAGAACAGGGCCTTGCACTAGAGAGTGAGCAATAAGGTTGGTAACTGAGTGACTTCAGCAATTCTGAAGGACAGTTCTGGTTCCTTTAAAGAGGACCAAGACGTTGTTGGCTCCAGCTTTATATTTTAACGTCATCATAAGACTTACTACTTTCCTTTTCCTTAACGGAGATTCATCTCTTGCATTTCCTTCTATCATTCATAAATGGAATGTAAAGGACCATGAGCACAGCTAGCAAATATCACTCTTCTCCCTCTCGCTGTGGTCAGCACTGTATAGATATTGTCCACTCAGTCCTCGCAACCCTATTATTATTCCCATTTCACAAAAGG